GAATAAATAAAAGGGAGGAAGTGTGAGCTAAAAGTTGTGTAAGCGTAGCATAAGTCATGAAGTGATCCAGGATACACGGGATATGCAAAAATATCAGAATCCCAGAGCTATTCAAATCTTCCTTCCACTGCTCTAAAGAAATTGCTTCAAACAATTTAAACAAAAAGCTGCTTTTGACATGCATGCAACTGACGTCATTTGTTTTGGTAGCACATAATGAGGGGCAGTGACACCAAGAATGTAATACCAAACTCATGCCTGCGCCAGAAGTTACCAATCAAGTGAAAATAAGCTAAAAAGGTAACATATGCATAGCTGACATTAGTTTGTGAATCATCTATTGATCAGGATTGACATTTTTACCCAGATGAAAACCATGCACAATGTACTAGAACCTGTCTGAAACAAATCCATCCCAGCACTCAATGTGTGACCAACAGTCTGCTCTCTGAACTATTAAAACCATCTTTATCAGATTCCATGTCTGGAAGCCCAAAGACTTCTCCTACAACCCTGATAAACTTTTGAGTTACATTCAATTGCAGCAGTCTCCCTAGATTATCTTATGAACTAGCACTCTGAGCTCTCTATCAGCCAGGATTTGTGAAGACGTCCTCCAGAGGATTATTTTGCCTTTACCGTTGTGCCAGATCCCTGAACAAAAACTGGTGTTCAGGGTATCCTTTACAGTATTTTGCATTATTCGTTCAAACAGTGTTGGGCAATAGCTCCAAAATACATTTTAGTGGTGGTTACATACATAGCCCAAGAAAATGAACTAAAGCTCCAATGTTAATCAGAAAAAGTATTTTACTCACAGCTGTTTGGAGTAACGGTTTTCATGAAATGATCACACAGTCACCACTCCTGTGTGTGCCTATCTTTGGCTCTGTTAAGAATCGCTAACATTAGAAAACTGGAAAAGGGTGAAACACTCCACACAGTTTAACACAGTCCAAAGAGATTCTCGGACTTCTTCCCCACCCTTCCACTTTCAAACACAAAAAGGGTATTTTCTCCTTCAAAAAACAAACAAACCACATTTTAAAATAAAATAAATATTTAATTAATATCAGACACTAAAAAGGCACAAGTGGTTTGTTATCCATTGTGAAAGACTAGGATTATCTTAACTGAAAATGTTAAGATCAAATGCATGATCAAATACAATTTATGTACTTAAGACCTCTAGAACGGGAACTGAGTTTCTTCTTATCTGGAAGAATCATAGCACATTGCTGATATGACACAAAAAAAAAAAGGGGGGGGGGGAAGATGAAGAGAACTAGGCTATAATGATGTAACAGAGACCAGAAGCAAGAACTGTCATTAAGTTCGCAGAATGGTTGAGGTTGGAAGGGACCTCTGGAGGTCAAGTTGTGTTTTCCACTTAGCGCAGGGAAGCTGGATCAAAAATGTAACTGTCAACTAATGCTCCCCTGGTCCTTGGAAAAGAATGCTGCAACAATACCACCTTTATCAGTACCAAACAGACAGGACTTCCACGTGTTGTTATTATATATATACACACCAGTAACAACTTTACTCAGTCTCAGTCAGAAAGAGTGACTCAGACTCAGCACAAAATGCAACACTCTACAGCGGGTGGATCAAGATCAAATTGTATTCTTCTTTCCGAAACCAGTGACTAAACACATTGGTAAAAAACTCAGCAGGGGTAGGAGACGCTGCCTGTGGCAGCTTGGTGCTTCTCAGAGCTCTCTTATCATCTGCAACATGTGTGTGCATGAGGTCGAAGCTACTGTCCCTTGGCAAGTTCCCAGGCTTGATGGTACAGTTTCCTGATGTGTGCTATCCCACTTGCGTGTCCTGTGGCAATCCTGTACTTGATTCTTGACCCTGATAAGGACAACCTGAGCGACTGCAAACTGACTTGCAATGAACAGTGTGTTTTAAGCAAAGGATTCCAGCAGCTGTAGGACGTGTAATGCCACCTTACTATTGGAAATTGCAAGATTTGGGACGACATTGCAAGTCTGATCAGGGTTCCCAATTACTCATCATTCTGGAATTACTGAAAACCAACTTATGACGTATCACCGCAGTGCACAGTGTAGTGTGTACATTTCTGACCCAGGCATGTTGTTTAGAAGAAACACGTTCGGTGAACTTCAGTATAATCACCATTTTCAGTCACACTGGCAGAATGAAGACACCCTTCATTTGGAAAAGCTGATCTAGATTATCCCAGCACCGGCTGTATCCGTTCTAGGACACGCAATGGAGCTTCACTGGTAAATAACAAGGATAGATAGAACTAGAGCCTGGTATCTATAAAAACAGGGGGGAGGAGGGAGGAAGAGATTATGTTAATTTTGCTCTAAAATTTTTGTACAGTAGTGATTTACTCTCATTTATAAGGACTTATTCCAATACATTCCCTGTACCTTTCTAAACAACAGATCAACAAATATTGAGAATGAAAATAACTACATGAATCACACATAAAGCTGAAAAACTTCTAAGTAATTTGATGGAAACTAGTTTGATTGACACTAAAGGAAAACCTAAATAGCTACCAATTTCAATTACATAAACTGAACAAATTATTTAGTTTTTACAGTGAAGACTGACTGCAATAAAGCTATTAACGGTTGTTACATCTCACTGTCAGGACAAGAACACAAACTCAATCGGTGGCTCAAATTATGCTGAAATAGTGCCACTTTGTCAACTTCACTCTGTCAGGCATCTTAAATAATTACCACCCATTTTGCAGTGATTTATTCTTATGATTCAACAGTAAAGACTGTATTACTAAGAAAAACAGGGAAGCATCATAGCTTAAAGGACTCAGCAGTCTCAAGAGCAAATGCTACGCCTGGTACTTGAGAGGGAAATACAAACACTTCCACTGCATATACTTTTATTACCACAGTGCTCATGAAAATTGTGCTGCTTAATTTCAAATACTTGCCTTAATCTATAACATTTCCAGTATTTATCCTGCACACAATTCCCCTACATAACCTACAGCAACATTAACAATACATAATTGTCTGCAAGCCTAATCTCAAGCAAAGCTAGAGATCTCAAGCCAAGCTGCCTGAGATCCACTATAGTGAAAAGGAATAATATAAAGTCAGGTCATCCACTGGTAGAATGTGAAATGTATCTCAATTTAAGCAAAATATATTACCAGAAACAAAGAGTGCTCCAAGACATAAAAATAAAGGTGACACACGTTTCAACACTTTGCGGTGCTTTTGATTGTTTCTTATTTCTGTCTGTAAGAAGCCACTGGTAGCATCCAAACCCCTTAAAAGAAAAGCAGCATGCTGCTTTGGTTCTATTAACCTGTCCTCGCGGATTTTACAGGCCACTTCTGCTTTCAATTTACTGCCCTTAGCGCCATGCGCTGCATGGCCAGTTCTGAAGTACTTTTTGAAGTGTCACTACATTAATTGCAGCAACACAGAGCTCAAGATGTACGGAGAATTTCTGTCTGCAACTACGATGGGATGTCCAACGCCCTTTTATCAGGAAACAAAAAAGTTTAAATTGAATAAACTCCTTAACATTTGCAGTGTCCAGCAGCTTATTGTCACCAATAATGAATCGATTCAAGAAGCTGTAGATTTTCAGTGCCCCCACAGAGTTATAAAGTGTACTTGTAGGACTGTCCGTGCATTAGCTGGAAGCTAGTCCAAGAACACATGAGCACCAAAGCTATATCCCTTCAACCCAGCAGTCTTTAAAAGCAATTACTTCCTGCATTAACACATTTTATATATACCCACATACAGTGTGCTTATGCAAGAGTCCCATACATATAGGTAATAGGCCTCAAGGACAGGATTTTTTTTTAAACATAACGCAATGCTGCTGAAAAATGTCATAGTTAATATAAATAAATATAACATCTTATTCTGCTGGCTGTTTACAGCAGATGATACATTTCCAGTAGGAATTCTAGTGCAATAATGTTTGCCTTTCTTGCTGGGAGCACGTACAGAAAACCAAAGTTTTAAGATGCGCTGTCCAAGAAGTCAGGACTGACACTTAACCTATTTCAGAAGCATTCTTATTTAAAAAGTGGTGTTTCCTCCAGTGCAACACCTAAGACTGCAGTATCAAAAATAATAAAAAAAACAACACTCCTTGTTCTTGATTTGAGAATAAATAAGATCGCTATTTACCTGCCTGCAGTTCAACCTGTTCAATATTTGCTAAGAGATAGGATCTCAAAGCATACAAACCATGGAATTCTTCCAAAATTTCCTAGGTAGAAGCAGCTGAATGGCAATGCAATCATACACTGACCTCCTAACCCTATCCCATGCTAACCTGCTGGCCCAGATCGCTTCGAGGGCTTCCCATCTTGGAAGCCTCACTAACTTTGATCGACAGCCATCTGAAGGAAGAATGGGAAAAAGTTCTCTCCACAAAATGAGTAACAGCGGGAAGCGTGACTGTGTTTTGGAACTTGTGGTGATTGTTTTGTAAATAACGAGCATCTGTTCTTGACCTTCTGCGCGAGTACTGATGCTCCAAGGCATCGTGATGTTCATCGCCCAGATTCTGAACGTACCCACTGGTATCACCCCAACTGCTGTGTGCATTTCAGCTGGAAAACAGAAGTGGTATTTTGGGGAAACGTCCTTTGTTAAGGGGGGGAGCGTGCTAATGCCTCAGAGCACCTGAAGCTCAGGTTGGGCATCGCAGACCCGAAGCCAAGCCCTGGAAGCTGCCACCAGACGGGCAGCTCCACACGGGCCACATCCCCACGACCCCCACACGAACCCCTCGGGGCTGTCAGCCCCCCCCGCTTGCTTCCACCGCAGAAAACACCCAAATTATTGAGACCCACGCGAAGCAGGAGCACCTCTGCCCAAACACAGCTGCCGGGGGGCCCCTCCTGACCCCTCCACGGCAGCGGCTCCCCCAGCCCCGCCGGCGCTCGGCTCCCGCAGGCCGCTCCCCACACCCCCCCCCCCCGGCCTCCCCCTGTCCCCGCGGCGGGGCTGCCGGCGCCTTACCTGAGCCAGGACGGTGAGGAAGGCGCCCGCCCCCGGCCGCCCCCGCCAGCCGCCGTAACACGCCACCACGGAGCCTCCCCCGAGCAGGACGGCGGCGGTGGCGGCCCCTCTCCAGCCGGCCGGGCGCCGCTGGCTCCGGGCGGGCCGCAGCCCGGCGAGGCGCCCCCGGAGCGGAGCGCGGGCGGCCGCCGCCAGCGCCGCTCTCCACGCCGCCATCTTCCAGCCGGCCGCCGACATGGACGCGGCCGCTCCGCCGCCGCGGGGGCGCATGCGCGGCGGCCGGGCTGAGGCCGCGGGATGGAGGGGGAAGGCTCCGGGCACCCCCCCGGCGCAGCGAGCCCGGCTGCAGGGTGGTGGAGGGGAAACGTGGAGTCACAGGGATGTTATGGTTGGGAAAGACCTCCAAGGTCATCTGCTCCAACCATCCCCTAACACCAATGTCACCACCAAACCATGTCCCCAAGCACCACGTCCAACCTCTCCTTGAACGCCCCCAGGGACGGTGACTCCACCACCTCCCTGGGCAACCTGTCCCAGTGCCTGACTGCTCTTTCTGAGCAGAAATGTCTCCTCATTGCCAACCTGAACCTCCCCTGGTGCAACTTGAGGCCATTCCCTCTGGTCCTGTCACTGGTTACCTGTGAGCAGAGGCTGACCCCCAGCTCCCCACCCCTTCCTTTCAGGCAGTTGCAGAGAGCAATGAGGTCTCCCCTGAGCCTCCTCTTCCCCAGCCCAAACCCCCCCAGCTCCCTCAGCCGCTCCTCACAGGCCTTGTGCTACAGACCCTTCACCAGCTCTGTAGCCCTGCTCTGGACACGCTCCAGGGCCTCGATGTCCTTCTTGTAGTGAGCAACTGAAAACTGAACACAGTTTATTCCAGAACAAGTAACAACAGAAACATGAATAAGTCTAAAACATCCTTTTCAAGGGTAGAGTTTCTTATGAATGAGACGACAAAAGATGTTGCTTACACAAACTGTCATGGCAGAGGTGCTAACTGAAAAGCATGACAGATTGAATTGACCAGCTGTAATCACTTACGTCAGAGACAACTAGTTACCTCAAATGCTTCAAATTTATTTATTTATTTATTTATTTATTTATTTATTTTGGGGTGGGTCCACTACCATTGTTCTACTGAAGCTCTCTAGGCTTTGGTTAGGTTGAGATTGATGAGTCACATTCAAACATTGGGCTGTCTGGGAATTGATGTTATATGGTCACATGAAGTAAAGCTGATAGGAAGGAGGAAGTTAACCGCTGTTTTTAGGTCGGCAGTACTGGGATTTGTGTTTTTGCAGAAGTTCACCTGAAGTTCACCTGGTGAATTTGGAAAAAGACTGGAGAGAGAACTGCTTCAGGCAATTCTAGACTTAAGGCATCTGGCAGAGAAAGTGCGATTTCCCGTTGCTTAGGTTAAAGGCCTTCAGAAAGTACTCAGTTCATCTTAGCAAACTGTACCTTTCACCTCTTTCTGTTACAACAGCAAGTACTGTATTGTCAGCATTACAGGCGCTGCAACATCTGAAACACGGCTCTGAAACATGGAAATGCCTTTTTTCCCCTCTCACCATTAATGTGTGGTGATATACATCTATGCCACTAAAGTACTTTTAGTTCGCTGTCCTTTCCTGATCTGGATTCAGAGCCATGAATTTGATTTTGTACGTGTTAATTTCAGTCATTTAACTAATGGCATCTCAGAATTTATCCAGTCTTCCATTAGCATGTGTTGTCCGTTGAATGTCATTCAGTGAAGTGTTTGAGACATCTTCAGGCATGTGCCACCTGAATCCTTAGCCCGATACAAACTCTTCAAAAACACCTCTGGGAAACACAAATGACTGCTCATTGCAAAATCACCCAAGAGTGCAACATGCAGGGTGAGTGGTTTCCATCCTCACAGGCTGTAATGTACATTGCAAAATCTTTCCCTATCCCCAGAGACCTAGAAAGTAAGTCATACAAGAAAATCCTTTCTAATCCTCAGATACAATAAAACATAGCAGCAAAATCCCTCTGTCATGCACAAACGCATACTGAAAAATCCAATTTCTCTTACAGAGATGTAAAACTTACAGTAAATTCCTCTCCCCTATTCTTGCTTTCCTCCAGACAGACAAAGTATTGTCTGTCCCAGCCTTACAGTTTGACACTGAGTATTTGCACAAACACCTTAAGAATACTTCCCTTTCTGTGTAAGCCAATAACAAGCACTTTGTGGCTGCTGGCAATGTCCCAGAAGCATTGTAGAGGATGGCTGAGGGATTTGCATTCTGAATGCCAGATCCCACAGTTTTGAACATGTGACTGCAACATAGGTAAGCATGTTTAGTTCAGCACCTTGCTAGGCATTTTCAGTTTTTCTTTGAGTAAGAACAAATAAGTAGGTCATTTGCCTTTCCTTGGATGACATTCCTGACTGAAACAGATATAGCTGCAATGTGAAAGGACAACTACTCTCCTATGACTGCAAGCACGCAATGCTGATGGGGAGGTGAGCTGTCCTTAGCCAACCTCTCTCGCTCTCCCTGCAGTAAATTCACCCCCACGTGTAGTGTCCCAGAGGATCACAACACTACCACTGTGCAAATGAGGCTCTCTTTCCCATCCTGTACAGTTTGCTCTTCCTTGGCTTTCATAAGCAGAAATCATTACATCTAGCAAGCCGACGTACCTGCTTTTGTAACATGTGCTTTCTACATGTTGACTTCAGACTTCCTTGTAGAGGTGGTTGTGTTGCTGAAAATCTGCAAAAGCAAATTAAAAGCCTGATAAAAGATTTTCTTAAATGTTTAAGGATGTGATTTTCCTGTGAGATTCAATTCTCCACTGAATCATTATATAATAAAACTTAAATGCTGTTACTTCTTGTTAGGCATAATGAGCATAATGTGAAATCACATCCACAAATGAAAACCTACTACCGTGAAACAAAGCCCATGGAACTCCTTTGATATTTAGGAAATGATGTCTGACATAAACTTCATTTTCTTCCATGTTTTTGTTATAAAGTAAAAAGTAAAGGGTAAAAATATCAAGTAAATCTACAGCTTCACATGCCTGAATATCCAATTATGCATCCCCGTGTCTTTTAAGAGTGTTAGGCCAAGTTCCAGCACGGATTCAGTCTCTGCTGGGACTCCAATCCCCTCAAGAGCATTAGGCTTAGTGCCAGCATTCATTTACTGTTGTAACGGCTTAAATTAACTCCTGTTACATTCAATCTAAACCCTTTCTTACTATTTTAGACAGAATAAGATTTGAGAGGTGGATTCAGTCATCCAGTGTGAGGGCCACCCATCTTGCTAGTCGGTCTCTGGGGACTTCAAATGCTGCGTAAACAGGGTCAGGGAAGGGAACAACAAGCCGGTAGTGAATTGAGGGAAGGAGTGGCAAGCCCCCTTTTATATATGTGGTCTTATTTCAGGACAAGTAATGTGGGGCTAGTCTGGTTTATTTACTGTGTACTATTTGACAGCTAGCTCCAATTAAATGTAAGATTTTAGTAGGCTAGTCACTGCGCTAACAATATTTGGAGTACTTCTTTCCTGAAGGAGCTGACCAGACAAGCTAATAGAAAGACATCAAATATCAGTGTTTTATTTCATAGGTGAAGAACTGCAGGTTAAATTCTGCCCAAAGTCAGGCAGAAGACTTGAAACAGAAGAAGATCTCACAAGCCCAGGCCTTCTTTGGCTTCTTCAAGATATCATAGGTCCTCTTAAAAATATCACTTGTATTTTGTTTTAACAGAGGTGAGAGCAATCTGCCTGCCTATGATGACAAGGAGAATGCTCCAAAGCCCATAAGGATATAAGCACAACCAAGACAAGCTTTGTTAAAAGTAATATAACTAAATAATCCTTGTACACCTTGAAAACTAGACAGTGATTGGATAAAACTGGACTATCTTTAAAGTTCGCTAGCTGATATCTTAATATATACCTAGAGTCTCAAAGTTTTCTTAACAAGGTTGTTTATTGTGAAGGTTGGGAGAATACTTCGGGAATTTCCAAAGCTTCTTTTTTCACTAGAAAGACTTATTCCATAATTCCTAGCAATCCCTTCTCCAAAGAAAAATAAATAAATTGTGAGATCAGTTTCAAGGAAGCTGAAATATCCTCCTGTGATGAAGAAGCCTTAAAATGACTCTGTGCTGTTAGTTTACAGAAAGTCCAGTTATTTTACAGGACATGCAAATCATGGATATTGACCTCATTACTAGACAGTCGACATTCATCCTCCAGTAAGACCAAAAATAAATGTGCACATTTTGTGGCCAGATAGCACCATTCAGCTCATAAATAGGAGTTCACAGCAATCATTGCTTTAGGAGCTGGGCCATAAATATATCCTATCTTCAAATATTTTCAACTTGCTGAAGTTACTTGAGAATTTACCATGATAGAGTCCATTTGAAAGGGAAAGAATTAAAATATATCTAAGATATGTGTCCCCAAATACCTCTCATAGCATTAATTTATATTGACCTTTCTAACACACTGACTGTCTTCCCACACTGTTCTGATGTTGTTCCCTGAAAAACACCTTGTATAGAACAAGTCCCTTCAGAATTTTGAACTATTTTTGAAGTCAAGTTAAAAAATCAGAGAAAAGAGTAAAAAAAAATAATTTAATATTAAAAAAATGACATTTGAAGATATTAGTAACATATTTGGAAAGATTTTAAAATATAGTTTCTAAGTTGGCAGTTACCTTTTTGTGATAAATATTTGATTCATAAAAGAAATGGTATGTAGACTATTGAAATAATGCTTTCATGTGGATAAAAAAAGGCAGGTCAAAACTAATACTCTGTTATAAAGGAATGTGCACTTCTTGGAATACGATAAGTATATTCACTATGGCTCTGCAGCTTAGGCTGTAGATCTCGGTTCTGTGAAGAGATATATGCCTAACATTACGTGTTTTGAAAAGTTCTGTGATCTGAAGTAAGACTACTCCTACCGCATAAAATTGTATACATAAATCCTTGAAGATTAGGGACTTTCTCACTGTTAGATGAGAACTGTGGTTTAACTGCTGTTTTATCTTTCAGTGATAAGATCCCATGGCACTTTTGCAACAATAATAGAGGTCCCATGG